TCCTCATAAAATATATTAGTCTACACAGGTTTAGCTTTCTCAAACACATTTTCCTTGCAATGCAGAGTTCCTAGCAAGCCTATTCAAAAGAGCAGTTTTATTCTTCTGAGAGGAACTACAACAAAGAAAAACCAATTGGCCTTTTACTGTTTTTTTTTTCCAGTTGTAATCTGTTTGTTTAATAGGTTTTCTTTATTAGAAAGGGAATAAGCAATGAGAAGGGACATTTATTGCAGCATAGTTTAGATGAGGCCATTGATTTGCTTTATTCTTGGATCATTAAGTTTATTATTATTGTTATCCGTTTCTGTATTAACTTTAAGCAGGCACAGCTCTCTTCTCTGAACCTTTACTTTTATTCAATAACTTGCACTGAGTAGAGTTTCATGCCATATAACCAAGACATATAGACTATAAGCTTCATTCAACAGAGCAGACCTATTGACATTGTAAGCACATTTCAAAAGATGCCACCAGAAAATTGTTGCTCAGCAATATTGAAGATTAAATATTTTCTAAAGAACTAATAATCTCATTGTTATGTTCTATACAGTTTTTGCTGACTTCTGGTGACTATATAGATAAAGATAAAGGCTCTCGGAGCAGTCTCTATGGATGCTTATCCATAGGAATATTTATCAATGCTACTTGTAATTATTTCTAAGTATACACGCCATTCATAATAATGAATACTTACAGAATCATGGACAATGGCATGGTTAGAAAATCAAAACTGGAATATAGAGACAATTCAATTTTGATACAAAGATTCTAGGATTACCTAATGTTTTTCTCATATTTCATACATAAGTACCCAATTCAGCTATTATTATTTGGAATAGATTTTTAAAAGATAACATATTGAATTCTAGATTGAAACAGACATGACAACAGAATATTATTTTATACTGAAAGACTTCATATAATGATTTTGACCTGATAAATCATTTTTCTCTCTATGTGTTTGCATATGCATGCATGCATGCATGCATGCATACATACATACATACATACATACATACATACATACATACATACATATTCAGTATTCTTTCACACTTTTGATATGGTGGCTTCTGATGAACAAAATGAATTAATATTTATAGGATTCTCCAAGATCAAATTGTTGAAAGAGTTACAAAATATTACAAAATGTTACAGTTACTATTGTAATGTGATATAGGGGAACATATGTAACATCTCATTCTTTGTATTATTGGTAACAGATAATAAAATATACTTGAATAGATTTTTTTGGCTCCCTTTTTATGAAGTCTAGAGTACATAATGATAGTCATGAAGTATGGTATTACAGTTTTTTTCTGGAATATATAAGTATATGAGTATCATCTGAGTTTTTAATTAAATTTGGATGCTGAAATTTAGATTGCATCTACAAATACAGTATATCGAACAAAGATTAAAATACACTCTACCATAAATTATCTATCTTGTTCAATTTGTTCCATAAATAGGCAAAAATTAAGATAATATCAGGTTGCTAATTGATATATTAGAAATACTAAACTAGATTAGGCGTTATGTTCTTAAATGTTGACAAGGTCTTTGATACGATACAGATTAAATTTTTGAAACACATTTTGATAAAATATGGAGTTCTTTCTTTAAAAAAATTGATTAAATGCGGCCTTATCAAAGTGAGTGTTAGAGTGATTAGAAATGTAACTATTTCTTTACCTATTAATATATCTTGTGGAGTTTAACCCAGAATATTCCTTATAAAGTATGTTTTTTTTATAAAGTTCTTTATAAGAAAAGGAATTTCTTTTCTTGAATGACTAGGGGTGGTGACATGATAGCAGTGTTCCAATATCTCAGGGTTGCCACAAAGAAGAGGGAGTCAAACTATTCTCCAGACTATTCTACCCTGAGGGTAGAACAAGAAGCAATGGGTGGAAACTAATCAAGGAGAGAAGCAACTTAGAACTAAGGAGAAATTTCCTGACAGTTAGAACAATTAATCAGTGGAACAACTTGCCTCCAGAAATTGTAAATGCTCCAACACTGGAAGTTTTAAAGAAGAGATTAGATAACCATTTGTCTGAAGTGGTGTAGGGTTTCCTGCTTAAGCAGGGGTTTGGATTAGAAGACCTCCAAGTTCCCTTCCAACTCTTCTCTTCTACTCTACTCTACTCTACTCTACTCTACTCTACTCTACTCTACTCTACTCTATTCTATGGCTCTAAAATCAATCAATGTGGAGGCCTGAGATCAGAAGGTGTAGAGTCCTTGGAAGAACCGCAATGTCCAGCATGAATAAATCTGGAAGACTAAAGATATCAGATTCCTAACGAAATCTAGATTAATCAATGTAATAATTTTTCCAATTGCTAATTATGACTGTGAAACTTGGACTGGAGGATGGCAGTGCAAATTTAAATTTTAAACTTTCTAAAAACCAACTTTTAAATGTTTAACTTGAACACGTTGACATAGTAGCTTCTGAAGTCCCAAATTTCTTTTTTTTTTATTAGAGAAATTTTTATAACATTCTAAACAGCCACTGGTTCTGTCTTCCTCATGAGCAATTTACTCACAGATACTAGAGAAACTAGATAAGCAATGTTTGTGGAGGGACTTCAATTTTTTCTACTTATCTTCTGAATATATATTAAGGGAAGCTAGATTGAAAAAAGGTAAACATGGTTTTAAAAATTGAGGAAGACATATCAATAACCCACGTATTCTGATGACACTAATCTAATAGCCAATGATGCAAAATATATTCAAGGTCTAGTAATAAAAGTCAAGTAACATAATGAAAAAGGGACTAAAATTAAATATATATATATAAAAAAACTGATGACCATGAGTACAACTACCAGCTTTAGAATTGCCAATGAAATATTGAAGTAGTAGATAGCATTTGCTTTTTAGGACCAACATCAATAGTACAGAAGCAAACAGTCAAGAAATATGTTACTGACTTGCACTTGATAGAGAAGCTATGAAGACTTTGGAAAATATATTCAGATGTTATCTATATCTATAGTACAAAGATCAGAAAAGTACAAGTAGTGGTATTCCCTGTGATGCTATATGTCAACAAAAGTTGGACTTTCAAATAACAGGATAGGAAGAGACTTTTGAATTTGGTGTTGGAGTTGGTGTTGGAGACAGCCAAAAGAGCAACAAAAGAACAGCCAAAAGAACAAACAAATGGATAACTGAACAAATCAACCTAGAGTGTTTGATTGAATATTTATTTATTTTATTTATTTATTTATTTATTAGATTTTTATACCGCCCCCTCTCCCGAAGGACTCGGGGCAGTGAACAGCCAAGATTAAAAACATACAATATAAACATTAAAATACATTTAAAACAGAATTAAATCCAAAATGGCTCCCCAATTTAAAACGTCTTACCCATGACCCTATAATTAAAACAAATTTAAAATTTCCACATTTAAAAAGGGGGAAGATTTAGGCCAGGCCAGCTTGATGGAATAGAAGAGTCTTAAGCGCGCGGTGGAAGGTGCGCAGATCCGGGCTCCTCCGTATCTCCGGGGGGAGCTTGTTCCAGATCGTAGGTGCCCCCACAGAGAAGGCTCTCCCCCTAGGGGCCGACAGCCGACATTGTTTGGCCGACGGCACCCGGAGGAGCCCCTCTCTATGGGAGCGTACTGGCCGGTGGGAGGCTATTGGTGGTAGCAGGCGGTCCTGTAAATAACCAGGTCCTAAGCCATGGAGCACTTTAAAGGTGATAACCAGAATAGTTTGATAACATTAGGCAAAATGACCAGACTCAAATTATCCCAGTTTGATAAGTTTGCAAAGACTTGGCTTTCTAGAAAAGAACCTCCTGGTAAGTCTGGAAAAGGTGGAGATATTTTTTTTATATTTTTAGTCATTCTGTACCCATAATTGTTGTCTCTTGTGTACACATCTATTTTTCTATGACCTTGTCAGACACAAGGAAAGAAATCACATTATTTTCAGTGTTGGTGGAAGGCAAAGGGAATAAACTTACTCAAGAATATAAGTTGTTTTGGAGGGGATAAGGGCACAATTGGAATATATTGTATATCTTTTAGTTGTTATAGACAAAGAAATATAAGGTGGGGGGAATGGTCCCCGGGGTGGGGGTGGGGGTGCATTGTAATATTTGTTTTTTTCCTTTTCCTTTTTTATTTCTTTTTTTTTTTTGTATATAGATGTATATGTATTATGTTTGTATTATTCGTATTTTTAAAAAATTTAAATTTAAAATAAAAAGACACAAGGAAATAAATCACATTATTTTCATAGGTTGTCTTCATTGATTAAATCATCTAATTTCACAAGAAGCTATGGTTATTCATGATTCCAAGAAATCATCAGGCTATAATTTCTGGATTTGGAATATTTACCAATCCTGAGTATAAGGGCTAAACCACAGGATTTAAAGATCTCCCTTAAAGTTCTTGTAATTCCTGCTGCTGCTGCCTCTGCTGAAACAACAACAAAGACATTTGAAAATGTACTCATTAATTTAAAGACTCTGCAGAAAGCTGTATGAAATGCCACCATGTAATAATCAATACCAACAAGACAATGTGTCTTTTGCATCATTTGGTGAAGTATTGTGTGTTCTCAAGGTGGACATCAAGATAACAGGGTCTAAAATAAAGCAGGACTCTTAATGTAATTGGCATGTTGAATGGGATGTGGAGAAGCTCACAAACCTATTTTAAAAAGCTTTCCCCACATCTCATTTCAGTAATCGATTGCCTTTTGACTATTACCGTCCATTGGAGAAAAGATGCTTAATAATATGCACACTTCAATAGAGTCATTATAAGTAAATGTCCTGTGTCTTTGTTTTTGTTTGCTTTTTGCTTTTTTTGCTACAGTGCACAGTAAATAATCAGGTATATGCTAGTCAGAACAGATGAAAACAGGTTATTTGTTAAACAGCTTTTGAATTGGTGCTGCCCATTAAATGTATATATGTTTCTTTTCAAGTGTTCATTTTAAAAGAATTGAGTGCTTCTGTTATGCATAAAAACAGTAATAAAAATACCATGGCTACTCAACAGCTGGTGCCCGTCTTTACTGGCAATGGATCCACTGCAATTTGCTTGTTCTGTTAGGCTGATATTTGCCATCAAAGCAAAGCGGTTTCAGAAATGCTTCCTTTGTCTGACTTTGCTGAGCATTAGGAATGCACTACTGGACAAAACGCAACAAATTAAATAATGTCCTTGACATATATAGACTCAATGTCTCCAATGTGCAGCATATTAATTCGATCCTTCATTTGTATTCAGCAATATTTCCAGCTCATATTTCCATAGTTGTAGAATTTTAAAAACTGAAGAAATGAGATTTTTTTTTTTTTAAAAAAGATGAATATAGGCAATAGAGTCTCATCAAATGCCAACCAACTACTTCCTCTGAATTTAGGAAGAATTATAAAACCTTTCTGTTAAGAAGATGTGCAAATTGCTGCAAGAAGAGTGTCATATTCTTTTTTAAATATGTAGGAGGGGGGAAAATAGGGTCAAACTATTAATCAATTCAGGAATAAGCAGCAACATGTTTGTAGATACTATGACAACTGCAATATCCATACCTAATATCCACTAACCACTAAAATCATTTTTTAATATATGGCACAAAATTTCAGCATGTTTTTGTGATAGTATGTGAGATTTGGGATATGATCCCATCAATCTTGTGATTGTGGACATAATTGTGAAAAGTTGTATTTTTTATCATCTGAGAAAAGTTGACTACACTTTTATTACACTAAGTAGACAGTATATAATTCAATTTGGATTTTTTTTTATGTTAAAGCAGATGTGTGGGGAGTTCAAGATTAGGATCTTAATATCAAGCTATTAATTGTTTTATTATGTCTGTTTTATTATGTCTCTATCTGTAGCAACAGTGGAAATAATTTTATTCATCGTCATCAATGACAAGATCTTTGGGAAATCCTCAAGTATTTGGTGTGGTAACTCAGGGGTGAAATCCAGCACGTTCTAACAGGTTCTGGAGAACCGGTAGCAGAAATTTTCAGTAGTTCAGAGAACCAGCAAATGCCACCTCTGGCTGGCCCCAGAATGGGGTGGGAATGGAGATTTTGCAATATCCTTCCCCTGCCACGCCCACCAAGCCACGTGCACAGAACCGGTAGGGCAAATTTTTGGATTTCACCCCTGTGGTAACTCCTAAATATTCCCGCTCCCATGACTAAATATTCCCACTACGTACCTCACTGTTTACAGATACATGCAAGTGATGAAACTTCCTAGTTCTGCTGATGATTTCAAGGGTGGATTGTTGCTATATACTCTTTATGAAAAAGTCTTTGAAGATTGCCTGTATTTAGCAGGTGAGCCAGAATATAACAGCATGGATGCTGCAGAATTGCCCCCAAATCCCACATTATCCCCATGTTGTTGTTTTTTTTCCAAAGTCAAATCACATTAGACTAGACTGCCTAACCTCTTAGGCCATCAGTGGGACATCTTATAAGAGTTCTACTATGAAACCATTTGTCATCAATAATTCATTGACTTCCTTTATGATGCATTGTATTCTAGGAAACGAAATACTATCAGAGTTGAGATAAGCTCCATCTTTCTTATATTTCCAGAGTTCATAATATATGTCTTTCTCTATCTTCTATTTTTATACAGTTGGAGTTATCTATTTAAATGCTTCATATATTAATAACTAGCTGGATACCCGTGCTTTGCTATGAAACTATGTGATTGGACTTGATAAATCAACACTTACAGCTTGAAAATTAATGAGTGGTTACAATCGGCCTCTCCTCTCCCCTTCTCTCCCTCAGCCTTGCCCCACAGAACCCTCCCCTATCCTATCCCCTTCTCTCCCTCAGCCTTGCCCCACAGAAGCCTCCCCTATCTTATCCCCTTCTCTCCCTCAGCCTTGCCCCACAGAAGCCGCCTCTATCCTATCCCCTGGTTGCTGCTGTGAAAGTGAAACTGAAAGTGAAACTCCTCTCCTTTGCTTGTGTTTTGCATTCGGAACAGGTGGGAAGGGGGAGTAGAACTCCTTAGCATCAGAGCATGGAACCAATTTCTTTTCAGGTGGGGAGGGGAAGTAGAACTCCTCAGCATCAGAGGGTTGTTTGGAAAGTGAAACAGTATTTGCTGTGTGTGAGCAAGGAGACAGGAAGGAGCCTGGCCGTGGCTTAGCTCAAGTGTTCTGTATTAAAGCTGCTTCCTGCTTTGAAAGTAAAACTGAAAGTGAAACTCCTCTCCTCTGCTTCTGCTTTGCATTTGGAACAGATTTCTTTTCAGGTGGGGAGGGGGAGTAGAACTCCTTAGCATCAGAGTGTGTTAATAATAATATAGAAAATACTGCTCTGATGGTCATTTCGAAAAATCCTTTCTTAGTGAGCACCTAAAAGCCAAGAGGAACATACATGGCAAATTTCAAGTTTGTAGGCTTTACGGTTCTGGAGATTTTGTTATTACGGCATGAGTGGTTTTTGCTTTTATATATATATAGCTGGACTATGACTCAGAATATTTTACAGCAATTTTGCACATTGATCAGAATTGTTATGAACATCAATGACACATAAATTTGCTAAAAGGATCAGTTTTACATTTTCATCTAGCTCCTTTAGGAATATAGGAATAAGTATACATTCCAAAGTATATTAGGGAACATTTGGCATGATTTCTTTGTAAGCAAGCTTTATTGGATGCAATATATACAGGAATCCCCCATTCAGTTGGCTTTATTTATCTGATCACTTCTCACACATATGACCTTGTCTATGGGGATTCATGCTATTCCATGTGTAAAAGAAGCATGATTTTTCAGTGAGTAATCATGTCTACAAATGTGCATGTGCCTCATGTAAGTAACAAGTAATGTTTATTTCTGTTGCATTAATTTGCTTATCAATCTCACAGGAAGGAGAAGGAGAAGGAAGTAGATTCTTAATCAAATTAACTTTTTAAGGGAAGTTTATTAATTTTTTCATAGGGAATGTATAATATTCTTATGAAGGATTTTCTCCATGCAACAATATCGGTAAAAAAAAAGCAGATTGTAAGAAAGAAAATAATTAATACTTACCATAGGTATGCAATGTGCATTATGATCTGGAAAGAGTCTTTTTAGAATCAGATTATTATTTAGGTAGCAAAATCAAAAAGCTGGGCCACAGCTCTATATGGTATTTTTTAAAGAAGAAAACAAAGTTATCTAGGAAGCGGTTTTATACATGAAATATTGGAGGAAAAGCTCCTCACCTACAAAGTAGAGATATAAAAGAGGGGGAAAATAAAAACTCTTTTTGTGAGGATGCAGTTGGATTATTTTACAGGTATGAAGGCAGAAAAACAGTTTCTTTGTCTCAGAATAAAGCAGAGCTGTTAAGATCAGAAAGCAATCTCAACTCTTTGTCTCCCATTTGTTTACTCTAATACATAACTAATGAAATACTTCAAGCAATGGATAATTAACTATAAAAATTATTGCCACAAGATGTTGTAGTGGCTGTCAGCATAAACAATTTTTAAATACAGGCAGAAAAGAGCTGCTAAAATGATTATTAGCTGTCACATTTAAAAGAATTGTCATGCTTAGAACCCCTCTGTACCAGGTGTTGGAGACCAATGAAGATAAACATGATTAAAGTCACTATATTTTATAAACAAGCTTCCCTGTAATTTATAGAGTTAGCATACCTGGACTGAAAGTATGATAGTTTGGAAGATTACTAGCTGACAGCAAGATGTTAAGCGTTTTCTGTATTTCTCTGCTGGCCTGTAGTGGTAATCTATATACAGTATTGTAACCAAAATGCAGTAGTCCTACTGATAGCAAATAATTTGGAATTTATATTGAATTATATATACACTAATAATGATTTTGTTTGATGCTTTGGGAAAATAAAAACATTGCTTTTGATTTAAAACTCTGCTGCAGTATAACAACAAGAATGTGCTTGAAGTTAATCATGCTATGTCACATTGTGATGTATATATTGATTGCTTAATATGTACATATCCATTCTAGTGAATAAGTCATGGCTTGTTTAGAGAATTAAACACAGTTTGACCTGTATAATATTCTTGGATTCCAAGTATGGCTTACTATGATGTAGGGATAGGAATGCTCAGTTTGTTAGCACCCCATCAAATCTCAAGGGTCCAGAATGGCAAACTACAGGAGTGATCAAATACCCAGCCTTTGGCCAAATGCAGCATCCCAAATCATTTCAGAACATCTCACAAATCATCTTCATTTAACCCTTTTGGAATTGAGGTTAGTTAAGATATAAGATATATATCTTACATTAGGAGAGAAGTAATTCACCATATTACTCCTTAATAGTCTAGGTGTATCACACACATACCCCTGAAAAACATAAGCCAATTTTACTTTTTGAGGGGAGATTTTGTGAAGCAAAATTTAAGATTTATTTATTTATTTTATATCTTGTCTTTTTTTTTTTTGCTCTGGTAACTATTAATCATTTGTCTTTATTTACAAAAAAAAAAAAACACAAAAAAAAAACAAAACACCCCAAACCTCCAACATGGACTGAAAGGTTTGGATACTGCTATTCTGCTGGCTTCATGACCATTCAGCCATTTTGTCTTCTTATGTGTTGCCTTACATGATACTGTCATATAAGTATCATCCCTGATTATAAAAATATTGGTCATCCCTAAAATAACATCCCTGGAATTACACACAGTTTGGGTTCAAAAAGCCCAGGAAGACATAATGTAGTTAGCTGGAATCTAGTATAGTGCATGAACCTATTTATAAACCATTGTTTATGGTTAAGCTTGGTGTGTGACTTATTCAACAATATGTAGCTTAGCAAATAATTGCTTTGTGCAATTTGTGAAAACAGTATTAATCACACACATACACACACAGAGAGAAAAAGGCAGAGAGAGTTTTGAGTTAGTGGCTGGGTTTTCCAAAAATGAATTCAAAGGAATATTTAAATGAGTAGATTATGCAAAGTGAGAGCAATTTGTTCCTTTCTCAGTGAGAGCATAATAATACATCTACTTTGCTGTGGTCCTTTTTATGTCACCAAGCAACTCCAAATAGATTATTACACAGGAATGTATTTTACCACAGAAGGAGGAATATTGTTCACTTCTGACTTAATGAGCTTTCCCAAATGCTTCTGTCGTCAATATACAGATTTTAATTCCACAAATTTTCAATGAAGTCCATGATAGTTGAGGAATTTGGGGATTTAAGTCTATACATCTTGAAGTAAATTAGGTTGGGAAGTTAGGCTATAATATCGTTTATGGACAGCAAACAATTGTGTTCCATCTGATGCCAATAAATATTTGCTTAAACAGGGATGACCCAAATGTGCCCTTTTGTTGTTATTGTTTTTGCTCATTTTTACAATTGGTGTCCATCATAAAGAATATTTTTTCTGTTGAAAAATCTACTCTCTCTTGTTTTTATGATTTCAAAGCTTAGGTTCATTAAATTGGGTTGGGGGCTAGGTCTACTATATGTGACCTACAAATTACCAGGTGACTGTTACATAGTATCTATATTTGCAGCCATCTAATATTTGTTTTTGTTTTGCAGGCCAATAAGCTCAAGTTGTGGTAGTAAAGTAAGATAATATAGGAGTTTGTGTTTGTTTTTATCCAGCAGGATTTTATGTAGGCTACTCATATTAATACTTCCAGTTTAAATAAATAAATTAATAAAATGAATTATGACTATGATAATCTTATAGCTGCTTTCTTTTCATTTTTCTTTTACTCCAAACTGCCTAAACACCTGTAATGAGTGACAAGCTTTGACATGAAAAGAAAAGATGGTATTTTGCATGACTTGTATAAAGAACAGGACTCTCCAGGTTGTGAGTTATAGACAACTTTAGGAAACAATGCTAATAGGACACATTCAAGCTGTGTAGACAATTCTGTTTCTAGTCTATAAAATATATGCTATTGTACTCCAAATGATAGCGATTTCAAATTTCATGTACAAAATAAACTATTGATGCTTGGAGCAGTAGGAAGGAAACCAAAAGAAAAGCCTTTTCCCCCCTAGGTACACACACTTCACAATGTAATTGCAGTTAAAAAAATCACAAGGAGCAGAGGTTAGAAGATGAAATTGTTTGGTGCTTCATGACTACCCAGCCTTTTGTCTCATACAATAACATTTCTTCACTCCTGCATTGATTTTTCTTATTCTTTTTCCTCAAGCTGATAATTTATCTCCCTAAGCAACCAGCTTTAGTTCCACAACCAGCTTCATCCCATGGAAACTTGATTGTTTGGGTGCTTAACCCTATTTCAGGTCTCAGCAAACCAATTTTGCTGTGTCTCAATGTGCAGCCTTTACTTGTGCTCAATGAACTCTACAATGCACAGTGCAAACTAGGGAAACACTTGATGGGTTTTTTTTTCTTTATTATTATTTTTGCTGAAAGGGCTTTTCTTATTTTAATGTGGTTGCTGTGTTTGGCATTTTTCATTTATATTTTGGACTTGAGTGTATTTTTATAATCTTTTCAGTGATAAGTCTAGTTTTCTCAGACATACTAGTAACAAAAATAAGTTTGAAATATTCAGTGTTGTTGAAAGTTCTTTTGGAAAAACTAGAGATTCTAAAAATAGGAATAGCTAAAAATGGATTGTATGTATGTTCTGATGGTGAATAGAACAGTCTAGTACAAAGAACGTAAGATAAAATTACTGCACTAATAACCAGGACTGCATCTGGTTCCATAAAGCTGTGGGTGAAGCCCACAAAACTCTTCCAGAATTATAATTTTTAATCTGATAAGGAAATGATTAAATCATATTCACATGCATTTAATGAATGTGGGTGTTATCAGCCAGAACAGAACTGATATCATACATCTGGTGTGATCATGTGCTTAATGACCACATCACTTAATGGTAGAGTTCCTGGCCTCAATTGGGCTTAAGTGAGGACCACCTGAACATTCTTACCACCATTGTATGTTGTACCCTATCCAGAGTCCTTTAAGACAATGGTGAGTTAGAGCTAGAAAGACACAGCCAGAAAGAATGTTCCTTCCAATGGAAAATAATTACAAGCTCTATAGAGCTCCACTACCTCTAATGGGAAATTGGCTTAAGAACAGATTTTCTTGCATCATTTCTAAATTTTAAATACACTGACTTAGCTGTCAAAAGGTGACAAAAGTGTCGGATCACTGAGGTGCAAAGTAATATGCATATATAATATGTGGAAGTAGGAGATTTTTTTAAAAAAAACCTCCAAACATAAAACTCCAAAGATCGTATATGTCACATAACATTTTAAATGTTAAAGACAAAACTTGGAAGACCTACTATCTCTGCACCTCCAAACTACCACATTGCAGTGAATAAATCAAATGTCCCTTTAATTCTATATATAGTTTCAAATGCAAGCTGGAAATCATTTCTGCCAGATATTTGAAAATAGAATGCCCACATTTGTTCCTGGAAATTCTATGACAGAATCCTTTTATTGCCAATTGAACTAATCTAAAACTGGCAACCTGAGTAAGATGAGCCAATAATCTGTCACTATAAGAGGGAATCTTCATATGATTTTTCTGAATTTCCTACTTGATATTTATAAAAGAAAGGGTTGTCATGTCAATGAAATAAAGTATATTCTAATTCTCTTTGAGTGTTGAATGTTGGGAACCTTGCTGTTCCCAGTTGGCTTAGTGCATTACTCAGAAGCTAGACTGTGTAAATGTTTAATGTCCATGTGCACAGAGGCATTTGGAGTGTAATAAAGAATAGTGAAACATGCTGATGTAATATTAATTGTCATTGAACACCTTCGTCTAGGGTGAGGTTCTGTATAAATTAGAGTCTTGCACAGAAAATGGTTTGATACACTTTTGTACTGTAAGTAATTATAAATGATTAAAGTGGAATGAGAGCATAATTAATAAAGGTTAAATAGAGCTCAAAAATTTCTGTCTCCATCTTTTCACATGCACATGAAATGTTAATGACTTATCTATGCATTAGCCTATTCCTTCTTTCTGGTTTGTTCTTGCTGCCTTATTATACAGTTCTTATACTGAAGAATCTTGGATAATTTCCTCCTCTTTGAAATAAACACTACACTAATTGACTCACATTAAATATATGTTATTATCACAGGAAAATAGGCTTACCTTATTATCATGACTCTTGGCTTAAAAACTTGAAATCCAAAAAGCCAAAGGCTGTCCATACAAGGAAGAATAATCTATTATTTCATAGTCAATGAAAATGATTTTCTAATATTTTTGTTGAGCCATCTGAAAAACATTAAAAAGAAAAATAGGCATCCCTTACAAAATTATAGTCAAGATCCAACATGGCTGAATGACTGATAGACCAAACTCCACCAACTTTCTTATATTGCCTTTTGCCTTTTGCTAGAGAAATAGCTATGAGTTCCATAAGCTTTTGGTTTTTCAAGGAGAGTTTCAAGTATTCTTTCCTAATCTTTATTGAATGAGATCTTTTTGCCATGTTGTACCCTTGAGCTTACGTGATGTTGTACTATATGTCTGATGGCTCAGATTATTATTTCTTTTAAAAAATTAAATTTGTTCCTTTAACATTTATAATTATTATTTATATGCTTCTATTTATGGATTCAAAATAGGGGGAAACGAATATGACAGGTATAGAGGTTTGATAAGTATGCATTCAACTTTGTAAAAACATGCTGTGTTTAACTTTGTGCTTTGCATTAGTTATGTCAACTTTTGTTCGTTTAGGAATTCGCTGAAAATATAATTGGCCAGAAGTGCCCAAACTTTTACATGAAACTATAAGCATGGGTTTTTAAAAAATTTCTTGGCTATATTTAAGTAATAAAATCTTAATCAAGAAAGGAGTCAATAAATATTTGATTTTGCTGCAATTTTTTAAATTTATTAAAACAATTTATAGGCCACTCAATTTCCATCAGCTCTGGCTTACAATTAAAAATAAAAAAGGAAGTGAAAAACATAAAGTCATGAATAGCTCCAAAAAACAATATGAAATCCAAGATGGTCCATCCAACAGGGGCTCAAGCTTAGCTCTGCCTCAGATGTGGGAGAATAATCAGCTTCCTGGAGGTCATCAGGATAGAAACCACTGTATTACTGGGGGGCGGGGGTGGTTTTATACAATGAGCAGATACAGTAACAACCAATATTTGGCAAGATGATACTTCTTAAGTGATAAAATCTAGTGCATACCCACTCTGTTCACATTGGATGACCAACAATAACTGAAGATAAGAAGCCCCTCAAATAACTAAGCTGTATGACATGAAGGACTTTATAGATGATAGCCCAGAAGCCAACTTGTAACTAGTGCAGCTACACAACAATGGGGGTCAAAGGGGCATATCAAAGTATGTCCAACACACTGTACCACTGCATTTTGGACAACTGTAACTTTTAAGTAGTCTTCAAGGTCAGGTCAACACAGAGCACATTACTTTATACTAATCTATTTGGGGATGAATGACTGTCTGAAGGACTTCTCAGTCTATGAAAGGGAATAGCTAGTGTATTAGGTTCTCTTGGTCACAACTATTACTTGATTTTCAAGTAACAATTTGACCCCCAAGTTGAATGCCAGTGTTCAACTTCAATGGGGAACTACAACTCCATCCAAAACCAAGGATAGAACTCCAGTAGTGGCAGGGGGATGGTAAAACCACTTAATCTTTTCAGTATTAAGCCTGAGGCTGTTCTTCCTCAGTTAGGATTGCATAGGATTTCAAAGGTATCATGTGGTCAGTCTAGGATTAAGCTACATAATGTTGCTGTTGTACAATCTCTCTGCTGCACAACAATCTCCCTGACTAAGCTCCTTGACTCTATTTCTGTGTTGGTAGTGGAATTCTCCATACTTATGGTCTTGACAGATTTCAATTTACCTTCTCTAGGAGTAGTGATTTGGGAATACATGGCCACCATAGACTGACATTGAATTGAGGACATGTAATCAATCAATCAACATAAATATTCTAATAAATAATAATTGAATGAAGGTTGAAAATTTGATCAGATACATATTATTCCATCAGGACATATGCTGCAAATTTATTCATGTTTACATGAAAGTTAATCTCATGGAACTCATCATAAGATTTTGCCACTAATCCTTTAATAATTGCTTTGGCTCATTTTCTATTAACATTTCTCTCTCTAAGGAGTGGATGTCTTAGCAAAAAAACAAGATTAAAAACAGAATTCAAATCAAGAAATACCTAATATTTTGTGTTGTTTGAGAAGTCTGTACCAATAAGTGTATATTTTTCTATTATTTCACCATCTTTTGACTAATGAGTGAATCCATTAGGAGCATAGAAACTATTTTTTGCTAGGTGAGATAACAATATATATGTGGTACAACCATATCTAATTCATGCCTAAATAATACTATCTTCTAATAGTCATGCTTGGAGAGTTTTCAGTGTTTCTTCATCTAGACACAGTGGAAAGTATAGATTTTCTTTTTAGAAGAACTAAGTATAAATGAATGTTTAAAGTACAAGGTCTATTTTGTCATATATCCCATGGCTTCAAAGCATAAATCATAATAGGCAAATAGCTCATTACAATAAATGCATGAAGGCTAACAAAAGAGCTCTGAAACATTATGAATTATATTTTTAATTGAAATGCCAATACATTATTAACTCATTAAATAAGTTAGTCAACTAAACTAACAACTGGCTCCAAGTGACCTAAGCAGAAATAGTCCTTTATCAAGTTGTTAAAAAGTTTTAAGATTACCCTAGTTAAATATTTATTTTGCAGTACCTTATAGTCTGGGTATAAAGGAAAAGGGTTTTACATGTTTTAATATAGAGTATGATTAAGAAAAATGTTGAAACATGGTGACAATTTGACAAAAGAAGCCATATTTGACAACAACAACAAGAACAACAACAAAAATGGACCGTAATGGAACACAGGAGAGATTTGTTGGAAGGTCACTTTGGGCTAAACAAAACAGGGGAAGATTCACATTTGAATGAAATGTAGCTTTTTGCAGGGTTGCCCAGCAAATAAAGTTTTTTAGAAATCACAAAAATTTCCCTAATGAACTATATGATGAATACTAATTCTAAAAATACAGTCCCTCTGAACATACAGATCAGGGGTTGGTTCTACTTACCTTTACTACCAGTTCGCTTTGTGCCTGCGTGCAATCTTCTGTTACTTGATGTGTGAAAGTTACATACTTTTAATTTAAAATTTTAAAACATTCACAAGCTCTTTCCATAAATGGTTCCTGTTAAGAGATCTAGGCATGTGGGCTAAGGTAATCCTGGGACTTTTCCATTTACTAATTGTCATAATTAGGATTAAGAGGACAGATATTTATTATATGTTATTTGTGGGGTAATTTTTTAAAATCAGTGCTGTAATGGAAGGGACAAAATTGGATATATTTCCTGAACAGTAATATCTTTATGTTCAGTTTCTTTCCTGTTGAAATCTTACATCATTCCTATGACAGTAATCAGCTTAATGGAAACTGGGCAAGTAAAAATTCAGAGCACAGCTACATTACAGAAAATGAAGGAAGATAATATTTATTGATAGATTAATTGAATATGGCATGTGGTGGATTTTCTTCCAAAATCCAGTGCTTAATAATTACTACATCTTAATTCTGTTCAGGAGAATGGAAATGATGGCTGCTAAATTCTTCCTATGAAAGATGCACAGACTCAGTCCTATTACAATTCAGCTTGAAAACATTAGCAATAATCATAACTGCCTTTCCTGTGGTTTGCTTTACCCAGTGGTAATGAAGCTGGTCCTTGGTCTAGGTTCTGAAGACTGGACAGTCTATTAAGGCCAGTTAAGTCAATGGCCCAGAAGTTCCTCAATCCCGTAATATTGGAAATTGTTGGGAGTTCTTTAATTATCTTTTTATGACTTGATTTATACATGGATGCTTTCTGCTTTCTAATAAATCTGTCATATTATATTTATATCAAATATAATCTTGAATTTATAGTGATCACTCCCAAAATCATGAATAGGGAGAAAATAATTACAAACTTAGGCAAAATATTAAACTTTGAATACTTTGTCAGCCTACAGTTTCCAATTAAAGCAGAAAACAATAAATCTACTATGACATATTCTTAAAAAAGGGGGTGGTTGGTCTTCTTGGTTGCAGCACCAAGAAGACCAAGACAAAAGCTTTAAATCACTAAGAACTTCTCATTAAAATTAAACAATTCTATATACTGTATATTTTAAAACATTCTATATATATTTTTGATCTCCATTTAGGTATACTAATCATTCTTTCTCATACATATATCATTTTCACATAAAAAATACATCACCAAGCATACAGTATATGCATACATACATTCCTCTTTCTAACACAGGAAGAGAAAGATGAATATAAAATAGAGAAAGATGAAAAGGCAGAAACTGGATTCTTTACTTTCTAAAATGACTTTGTTAAATTGTATTTTCTTCCTCTGAATATACAAACATTGTGAGCTTCCACATATTCTCATTATTCTGGAAAATATTCTGGGAAATTAGCAGAAGGTCACCGTAAGCCACAAAAAAGTTGGATTTCATATAATTAGTTCAAGCTACTGGTTTTTCTGTATAAACTTAACAAATCTATTAGCTTCCCTCTTTCTTCTTCAGCATATTAAAAACATCAAATTTAATTTTCTTATATTAACTGTAGATGAATTACATTTAGATTTCAGTAAGGCTTTTGACAAAGTTGACTAGAGCTTACATCATGATAACATGGAACTATGGATGCTCCCAGTACCAGATGGATTCACAGTTGTTTGAAAAACTGAACCAATGCATAGTATTCAATGGATATATGTCTATATGGAGAGAAATATGCAGTGGGCTATTCCACAACATTGTCCTAGGCCTGGTGTTCTTTAATATTTCCATAAATGCTTAGATGATGAAGTGATGCTCATCCAATTTGCTGATGAAACAAAGCTGCGATGGGATCTTGAAGATTCAAAATGATGTTGATAGACTTGAATATTGGACCCTATCCAATAGTGCACTCATGAGAAATGTAATGTTATGCATGTAGGAAAAGCTGGATGCAAAGATAACAATAGCAATAGCACTTAGAATTATATACCATTTCACAGTGTTTTACAGCCCTCTCTAAGCAGTTTACAGAGTCAGCATATTGCCCCCAAAAACCTGGATCCTGATTTTACCAACCTCAGAAGGGTGGAAAGCTGAGTCAACTTTGAGCTGATTAGGATCAAACCCCTGGCAGTGAGCTG